TAATTTCACTTTTATAGATCCGACTTCATGGAAATTTCAGCGTATTTTTCCCAACACTAAATATATAGTTCATCTTTATATTGCCATTGTTTATGTAGAATGTATAAAACATTGGATGTGTCGGGTCAGGAGTTTCGATTTGATATATGTTGAAAAATTACGACTGGGTAGGCACTATAAAAAATACCTCATTTCAATGAAAAATCTCACGGTAATATATTTCAAGAGAAATTTCAACGGATGTTCTAACGGTAAAGCTTCCGTTGGAATTATTCCAACGAAATAATGAGTTTTCTATTAGAAAGTATAAACTATCGGATGAGCACTGCCTCCATGCCCTTTTGGCCATCGATATGCACAAACATACACACACACCCACATTAGTGTGTACAAATATCTATCATATATTGCAACAAGTTGTTAAAAAAAATTGTCCTAATTAATATTGTTATTAAGTTTTAATCAGGTAACAACCTGTGTATATAAATGAAAGAAGCAAGGCCTTTTTTTCCCCCTCTTTTTTGTGGTAGCATGTGAATTTTCACGGTTCTCCCTAACAAACTACTGCTCCACTTGTGAGTGTGCCTTCAATATTGTTGTCTTTTTTTCTGTTTGTTTTCTAACACCAATTTTTTTTTACTTATCTCTTCATCAGCTGTGCATTTGGTTTTGTTCTGCCAAAATCGAAAGAGCATGGGAAAACTCCCTATACTCTTGCTCTTCTTCCTTGGCTCACACCTTCTCGCTTCATCGTCTTACGGTTCTCTCTCTCTCTCTCTCTCTCTCTCTCTCTCTTTCTCTCTCTCTCTCTCTCGTTTTGAAAGTTGCGACACTTGTCTATTGCAGATGGGCCACTCTACGATTCGTCGGCTTACACCGAGGTACACTAGTACACTACATAGTACACTCACAACTCTCTTCTTCCGAATGAAAAAAAATCCCTCAAGGTTTTGCGTAATTATAAAAGCTACCCTAAAGTCGAAACAAAGCAAAACCTCGAGGGAATATTAATTTCACAATTGATATATCCCCTTTTTTCTTTTTATGTATTAAAGTAAATTTATTTATGAGATATGCACATTTTGTGCACAGTGTAAACCGCAACCCGAGGAGCCACTCTACAATGGAGGGATGCTCGAGAATCAAAACCCCGAATTTCGACGTTTGATTTCGAATGATGGCATTCGAGTTAACATTTTACCTTCGTTTACGCTTCAAAATCTTGATCAGGGCAGCCGATATTGTTTTTCGAGTTGAGTTAGCCTATCTTTTTTAGTGTGTATAAATGATATTCACATGCGGTTTTCTTTATCGGTATTAACATTCCAAGATTTTGTTCGATCACGAAACAAACTACAAAAGTCATTCTTCTTTTACATGCATGCCAAGAACCGTTAAGGTACTACTAATAATAGTTCTAAAGGATTTTGCTATTTAGCTAATTAGGCTAAAAGTTTCACATTGTCACGACAGTTTGGATCAGGATCAATGGTACAAGTTCGAGCCTTATAAGAGCAAGCCTAAAGACCGAAGAATCTACACTCGAATGCATAGGGACCGTGATCGCAAAACAGAAATGTTGGTCGTTTCTCAAGGGTGGATTCGTACTCTCATCCCCATCAAAATCATCCACACTTTATATCAACGTAAAAACATTTTTTTCGTTTCAATTCCTGAAACAAATTTCTCCCTAGTTTTTACCAATTATTGCAAACATAAACAAAAAGAAAAAAAAAAATCTATTCACAGAACACGGGCGGCCAAGATATCGACATAGAAATCGCAAGTGCTTCTTTGCAGCCTTTTACCGAGAATCAATGGAGACTCAATCAAGAAGCAAAAATCAATGAGGTAAACATTAAAAGAAAACAAAATGATGTGTGTGTTGATCCAACGGTGAAAAATCTAGAAATTGCAGTGAAGTTACAGATAGAACCTTAAACAAAACAATTTCCTCATTTGAATTACTAGGCCTTAAACAAAACAAAACAAAACTATGGTTTCCATCATTTGAATTACTAGG